CATGTTGCTAAAAATGTAATAGGTTTCAATAATTGATACAAAATACAAGGTGTACTAGACTAACCAAGAAGCAGAAAAAGAAAAAGGGCAAAAAAATAAACTCACGTGTTTTATTACCTGACATTGTTCGTCACATTCTTCTTAACTCGATCCCGATAGAAAGTTGAGCAATTTCAGTTTTTAATGGACACAAACCTTGTACCAGAATAAATTTAAGTATATTACAGTCCTTTTTGCATTTTCTGAAAGCTAAAGATATAAACAGTTGTCTGAAATAACACCAAAATCACTTTCTCATATGAACTCGAGAAAGTAAATTTCAAAGTTCAGAGAAATCGTCAGGTAAAATACAGGTAAAATTTCATCATCAGTTTCATTTCACCAGTACTTTCAAGTGTTTCATATATTACTTCACAAGTTATTTTTTACATTTGGTGTTGTTAGAAATGATTTCCTTTGAGTCGCACAGAAATTTCCAATACAATGTAACTGATCTCGATAAAAAGTTTTTGTCCACTTGTTACTCGAACTTTTGGTGGATTCTTTCTTAACACCTAAGCTAGTATATAACTATAACTGAACTGAACGACTTTAATCTGCATTTGATGATGGCGACAAAATAACGTCGAAACTTGAGATTATAGCATTTATTTTTCTTTTAAAATGATTTCTTTGTAACCGAGTATCTTTTGGAATTTGAGGGACAAAAGAAACGTGAAATGTTTGTCCTGAAATCCAAGGAGACTTGCTAGAATATTGATATATCGAACGTGGCCTACTACCTGCCCGTTTTGTTGAACACGTCCATTTACACGAACAGGAAGCATTTTTTGACCGAAATATTGAGTATACAGAGCACGTCCTTAGTAAATGATTCTTCGTAATATGTCCTTGAATCTCCAAAACCCTAATAAATTTGAGACTTGTCATATTGTCAGATGGTGATCGACATAAACAATGGCTTACCTCTCCAGAAACACTTTCTTGCTGTTTATGCATGCTCACATGCCAGTTCAGAATCTTAACAACGAACTAAATTACTGATAGGTACTTTCACACCGTATCAAATTGGGGAAAAAGCACAACGTTTGCGAAAAAACGGCACCTTCTTGAAGAATCCAATATGACGGACGGAGCTCCAAAGAGCGGGGTAAATGTATGACCCCAAAACGGAGAAACGGAGCCCATTTTAAGACTCATGCGCCATACTGCGCATGAGTAAAAAGCTAGAGGGGTCAGTGGAACCAAGCTCAATTTTTGGAGCTATATGTTCGTAAAGGTAAGTTAAAGTTAAGGGTGCTGTGGCGTGTTATACTGTTGCTATGGTAACCTTTTTGCAAAAAGAATATAGTGATAGTGTTGATTCATAAAGAAGAAGTTCTGAAATATGCTGGAAACCGTTGTGAGCCACCTTACCCAAATAAATTTCCGTAGTCTCCATGGGTCGCACTCGTATATAATTGCGCCCATCATTAATACTAAGGGAGGCGGACAGGATCTAGGGTTGCTGGAACCTACGAACTCTAAGCCTGCATTGTAAGAAATGACAAGGTAAAGCAATAAAATGAAAACAAAACAATAATTAGCAGCTAGATTTAGCCTAAAACTGTATAAAAAAGAAGCATCAAAACTAAATAAAGCGAAAACTTGATGGGAAAATA